CTGGAAGCTTTACTGTTTCGCAGCTCCATGTTGCATTCACTTTTGTCGACAGAAGTCTTGATCATCCAGAACGGAACGGTAAATTCCGCCTTGATGTTGACCGCGCTTTGCAAGTAGATGTGAAAGTTCTTGCCGCTCGAGGTGTCGAAGGTCCCCAAGTAGAGGTTGGCTGGTGACTCATCAATCTGCTCTTCCACAAAAAGCACTTTCTGCGTCACAGGCGTCAAAACTAGTTTGTCCTTGTTGAACTCATGCAACACACTGATCTCCTTGCTGGGCATCATCAAACTCAACCCTTCGTCAGTGGCCAGCTTGCCCTTGCACAATTCCTTCAATCTAAGCAAGATCTGTCCTGCGCGTGAATTCTACCAACAGCTTGATGTGTTACACTATGTTGTCATGGCAAAGCAGCAAACGCACTGCTGGAAAAACTCTCACGCGCAAAGGGTTTTGCATTTCTCTCTGAACTCCTGCTTTATGAGAAGCAAGGTCTGCGCCTTTTTGAAAGGGATACAACTGAACATCCCCAAGAGTCCTTTCACGCAACCAAGTTCAAAATGCTCGTGATTGTTCGGTGTCGTCCATGGTACAGGCATCGATTCCTTCTTTTCAGACATTGCCTTCCATTTGCCCTCCAAGAACGCAGTTGTCGAAGCGGTCACATTCTTGTCATGCACCTTCAGCGTAACTTTTGTTGAAGTAACGGACACGATCTTCCCTTCGACCTTGTCAGCCTTTCGGTGTGCCACCACACCATTGTGGAACCCTAGGCTCTCCAACTGCTCCCTGATGTTCACTGCTTGCCCGCCCTCATTGAACTCACGCATCCTCACCGCAACAAGCGAAACAAGGCAATGTGTTTGCTTGCTTGCTTGCTTGCTTGCTTGCTTGCTTGCTTCCTTGACTGTTTGCGTGCGTAAATCCAAAAAACACAAACGACACAAACGCGCACGCCACACAAACTCTTAAAGCCCAAAATAAACTGAATTGATAATCAAAGGTGCGGCGCAGGCCTTTTCGTGGGCCCCGCTGCTGCTGAGCTCCCTTTATCACCCGCTTTCTCATGAAAGGGTGAGTCCACTTCCTTCCCGGTTTGCTGAATCAAGAGTTTCACAAATTGATGACCCACCTGTTCCATGGAGTCGTACTTCCAAGAGATTGTCCGGTGTGTCTTCGCCAAAACAAACCAGACAAGTTGACATTCTGCCAGGCCGAGAAGGCGCTTCACATGAGGATCTTTCGGCTCAAAATGCGCTTTCACAAAGTCCTTCATCCGCGTCAAGAACTTCTCAAAGTCATCGACTTTCTTTTGGGAGTCCCTTGATGTGATGGACTTACGGATGTCGCTCACTGACACAAGATTGGCTTGAGAGTTGTAGTAGGCAAGTTTGAGAAGCGCGTGACGCCACATCACACGGTTCACTGCTTTGTCCTTAGAGTCTTGAGCGAGCGCTTGCCAAAAATCTGGGCCAAGCACTTTATT